GTATTTCAAAGGCAACAACACTGCAATGATTACTGTACGTCCGGTACACAATTACTGTACGTCCGGTACACAATTACTGTACGTCCGGTACACAATTACTGTACGTCCGGTACACAATTACTGTACGTCCGGTACACAATTACTGTACGTCCGGTACACAATTACTGTACGTCCGGTACACAATTACTGTACGTCCGGTACACAATTACTGTACGTCCGGTACACAATTACTGTACGTCCGGTACACAATTACTGTACGTCCGGTACACAATTACTGTACGTCAGGTACACAATTACTGTACGTCCGGTACACAATTACTGTACGTCCGGTACACAATTACTGTACGTCCGGTACACAATTCAAAGACACATAGTAGGCTCAGCAATGAATACTAAGTCTGTTTTTTTTTTTGTTTTTTTTTTTTTGCTTAGTGTATTTATTTACCGTGCATTTCAGTATTATCAGAAATATTTTTTCTCTATATAGTATTTTTTCTCTATATAGTATTTTTTCTCTATATAGTATTTACGTGGAAAAAGCTCAGATGTTACAACGGTCACGGTTATCTGTACGATGTTGCTGTAGCGGTTACTGTCAGCAGCGTTATGTTACTATGGGGGTTACTGTCAGCAGCGTTATGTTGCTATGGGGGTCACTGTCAGCAGCGTTATGTTGCTATGGGGGTCACTGTCAGCAGCGTTATGTTGCTATGGGGGTCACTGTCAGCAACGTTAGGCTAATAACGTATTGCTGCTATGACGGTCACAGCCATAAGTGTTCTGTTGCTATAGTGATCACGGTCAACAGTGCTCAACGCGTATCTGAGATCCTCTCTTCTCACTTTATATGGGCAAAGGAACACAGATCCTTGATGCTGTCTTGTGACCCTAAGATCCATGTTTCGCCCTAAGCCCCTGTCAACTGCCTCTTCTTTACTCTTCAGACGATATTACGCTCCCAGCATCTTCTTGACGGTAAAGCCCGGTACGGAGTAGAAGAAGAGGACAAAGAAGATGGTAAGAGCAAAGAAAACAAGGAGCTTGATGATGGCCCACTTGTAGTTGTGCCAGATGATGTAGCGGATGCTCTTTAGTGGGTTGAGGAACCACATGAAGGAGGCGTCAGGACGGCTGCAAAAAACCCAAGAAAACACAAAGGTTAAAAAATCCTACAGAGAAGTCTCTTTATATGTGTATATATATATATATATATATATATATATATATATATATATATATATATATATATATATATATATATATTATATATATATATATATATATATATATATATATATATATATATATATATATATATATATATATATATATATATATATATATATATATATATATATATATATATATATATATATATATATATATATATATATATATATATATATATTATATATATATATATTATATATATATATATATATATATATATATATATATATATATATATATATATATATATATATATATATATATATATATATATATATGGCGTAACACAATATTTATGTACTGAAAAATTGGCTACCAGATTGGAGGGAGTATGGAGGAAGTGAATGTGTTCAGATATTTGTGAGTGGACTTATTAACGAATGGGTCTATGAATGACGAGGTTAACCACAGAATTGACGAGGGAAAAAAGGTGAGTGGTGCATCAAGGAGTCTGTAGATACAAATAACGTAATCCATAGAAGCAAAAAGGGGAATGTATGAGAGTATAGTGGTACCAATACTCTTATACAGGTGTGAAGGATGGGCTATGAATGTTACAGCAAGGAGGAGGCTGGAGGCAGTGGAGATGTCGTATCTGAGGGCAATGTGTGGTGTAAATATTATGCAGAGAATTCAAAGGTTGTAAAACAGAAGGTGCGGGTTGTTTAAAGGGCTGAAGAGGGGTTATTGATGTTGTTCGGACATTTAGAAAGAATGGAACATATAGGATGATTTGGAGGGCAAATACATCTATAGTGGAGGGAAGGCGGGGTTGGGGTCGTCCTAGGAATGGTTGGAGTGAGGGGGTAAATAAGGTTTTGCATGTGAGGTGCTTGGACATCCAGTAGGCGTGTGATCATATTAAGTAGGACTGACTGGAGACAAGTGCTTTTTATGACTTGACGAGCTGCTGGAATGTGAGCAAGGTACCATTGATGGAGGGATTTGAGTCCTGGAGGTGGGACGCACATTCTGAAGGAGGAATGGGAATATTGCTGTTTGGAAGTCTGAAACGTAGATCAGCACGCCTTTGGCAAGACAGTGATGGAGTGAGTATTGATGAAAGTGTTTCTTCTTTTTCAAGTTTCACTACCTCGATGGAAGACGGCCAGTGTGTGGAAAAAAAAGTGAAGGCATATAGTGTATGAGTCAGCATCAGCACCACTCACCTGGGCTTCTCCAAGGGGTCAGGTTCGTTCCTCCCCAGCCCTGCTGGGTTCTTCTCCGCCTCGTCTTTGGTCAACAGGTGTATCTCTGCCTCCACCTTTCCCTGTGAGGGCGACACACACAAATATACACTCACTACACACTTATATGATGCACCTGTCATGGAGAAACGCTCAACTAGTTAAAGCGACAAACTATTTTGTTAATTAAGTTGTTGATGCTACGGTGACAGTCTACCCAGACGAGATCATCAATGATACTTCAGTCTAAACTGGAATTAAGTAAATTATTACGGCATATATGTAAGTAGAGATGTATAATTTTGATTGTATATACAATGAGAGATACAAACTTCAGGATGTGCAACTATATACACTGAGATATATATACCTTTCAGTGTATACGAGTCATTCCATAAGTCTTTCAATTTTTTTTTATTGAGAAGGATAATGCAAATACGGAAAATTCATAATATATGTTTATAAGCTCATAAAAATGGTGTCATTAGGTTGGCCACATGCGCAGGCCACCACAGAAAATAGATAAGCCAAAATGTACACACACATAGTACGTCATCCACATACGCTTAATGCCCAGGAATATTGACATAAACCAGTTCTTACTTGAATTAAATAATTATATCATCTAGCTCCATCTAAAAAGTTTACTTCTGAGTTTGAACAAAATAACTCCTTGCCATTTATAGACGTTTTAATTGTTAAAAGGGACCAAGAATGTAAATTGGAAATATACAGAAAACCAACAAATAGCTACTTTTAAGTACACTATTATTCTTCAGATGATGACAATGTTAAACGTTCTGTATTCTTCATGTTTTTGAGAGTTCTGTACATTTACAGCCCATATTTCATAGATGAGTAAATATTGAAGATTTATGAAATAGCATATGATCAAAAATATCTGAAAAAGTTTAACTGAAAAATCTATAAAAATGACAGAAATACAATTTACAATTCCAAAAAGATATAGGACAATATTCTCCAAAAATATGTTTGCTCTGATTTATCCTGAAAACTTTCTTGATATACCTTCTTTGTTTAAGAATTTCGAACTCCAAGTTGTATTTAAAAAAAAAATTGATACAATAAATTTTTTTTTTTGTTAAGAATTATCTCCAAAATTCTGACGGCTGTGTCTATAAGATTCCCTGTACAAAATATAATAAATTTTATTTGTGGAAAACTTAAAAAAAAAATTAACTAAGATTGCAACAATATAAATCGAAGTACATAATTTTCTATATATTCACATGAGAGATTTAAACTACGTCACTGATTTTCAAAAGGCTGAGAAAGTTGTATCAAGTAAATCCATAGTTGATCAAAACATTATATAATGAAGCTTCATAAGAAAATAGTATTGATTGCTGTATGAATATAAGTTCAGGATTGTACAAACTAGATTAATTTATAATGAAAAGAATTTGTGAAGATTTTGAGCTGTATTGACAAAATTCTTCTTTGCCTTACATGTGACATGAATAAAAACTGCACAACACTGGAAAAGGCTTTCCACGCTTAGAGAGTAGGGACATATGTGAGGTCACACTGAGGTCTTATTTCAGTTTTATGCCTTGTTTTTTACAGGGCTGTTTGTTATCCCACCTCAGCTCATTTAAAGCCTCAGCCTTATCTGAGGTATTCTACCACCCCACAAGATGCAACCCACATTAGAGGGCTAACACCCAGGTATCTACTTGCTGCTAAGTGAGCAGCGACAACAGTTGTAAGGAAATACGCCCAGTGTTTCCACCCGTAATGGGACACGAACCACTGACACTCAGTGTATGACCTGATTGCGCTACCTACCGAGCTACGGGGTACTTCTGTTGTCTTATTGTTTTTATTGTTCCTTGATAATATATCACGAGAATGCTAGTCCACTCGGCCACACAAATGTCGCCGAGTGGACTAGAGCGCTGCCTGGAAATCTTGACTGTCCCCAGTAGTAGTTTTGAATCCTGCTGACTGCGATCTTTCTTTGTATATACCCGCTTGTTTCAGCGTGGTACATTTATATATATATATATATATATATATATATATATATATATATATATATATATATATATCATAGAATTGATGAGGGGAAAAGGGTGAGTGGTGCACTTAGGAGTCTGTGGAGACAAAGAACTTTGTCCTTGGAGGCAAAGAGGGGAATGTATGAGAGTATAGTTTTTACCAACGCTCTTATATGAGTGTGAAGCATGGGTGATGAATGTTGCAGCGAGGAGAAGGCTGGAGGCAGTGGAGATGTCATGTCTGAGGGCAATGTGTGGTGTGAATATAATGCAGAGAATTCGTAGTTTGGAAGTTAGGAGGAGGTGCGGGATTACCAAAACTGTTGTCCAGAGGGCTGAGGAAGGGTTGTTGAGGTGGTTCGGACATGTAGAGAGAATGGAGCGAAACAGAGTGACTTCAAGAGTGTAACAGTCTGTAGTGGAATTAAGGCGGGGTAGGGGTGGTCCTAGGAAAGGTTGGAGGGAGGGGGTAAAGGAGGTTTTGTGTGCGAGAGGCTTGGACTTCCAGCAGGCATGCGTGAGCGTGTTTGATAGGAGTGAATGGAGACAAATGGTTTTTAAT